CCCCCCCCAAAAAAAAAATTACCCAGGTCCTAACCACTGGCCTGACCTCCCTTCACTTCACCTACACTGCCTTTCTCAGGGACTGAGCCCCAACCTCCTTGCAGGACAGTAGTATATCTAGCTTCTACTGAAAGGCCTGAGAGATACTCCTGCACTAGTAGCCTGTTACATGCTGGAGCTCAGGCACACCTTCTCCACCAAAGGAAGGTATATGTGGCTTTATAAGGACAGAAAAATAAGCCACTTCTTTTCCTTAAATTGGATATTTTTGGATCATGTTTCTCACATAAAGCTTTTGTGTTGGTCTAGTCATAGGGCTCCAGTTGCAGCAGTGATTTGCATTTGTTTCACTAGAAGTGAAATGTTGTTGGAGGTTACCAGTTCACACCTAGCGTTCTCATGTAGGACTCCGTTCCAGCCCCTAAAAGTAGCTAAGGGTTCTGGTGAAAAGCTTTCCATGCAAGAGAAAAGTAGTCTTCCCTTAGGTCTAGGCCTTTAGCATTTAGAGAGTTGCTACTAATGAATAGTTGTGTTAGCAGCTGAGAAGACACTTGACTATTATGGCTTTTACATAACTGGCATTTTCACGTGGGAGTAAACCTGCACCACACTGACAGACATAATTGCTGTCATTCCTTGCCCATTCTACTTGAATTACAGTCACATTATCTACTGGACTGTTCAGAGCATAATTTTATTCTGCTCTCACATGTTAATTAGTTATATGTATTTTTGTCAGTATGGAGGTGGGTGAAGTCCTTCAACTGAAACATCTGCAATCCTCTAACGTCTTCAGAGAACTGACTGTTATAACACTACTCAAAAAAAAAAAGGTCAAAAACCTCTCAAAACTGCGTTTGACATGTTAGTCTGTAGCCTGGTCAGTTCAGTTGCTGAGCAAGGATGGTATTAGTCTGCAGTTGTCTTGATACTGTATTCCTGTACACTTAGTCCTGCGTATAGCAAAACCTCAACACCTAGGTAGATGCAATGCAACAAAAAAAATTATGGTCAGAGTGGCTTACTTTCTCTTCCCTGGAAAGATCTAGGGTAGAGATAGGTGGTCGTTTAAGCACACAGCTTCTAAAAATCTCTTTCACCACTGTGTCCCTGCCTGAACAGATGGATTAAGAGTTACCTGTTCTTTGCCGAGGTTATTCATTCACTTCTGAGCAGTGTGAGCAGTGCTATACAAGTTTACTTTTAGTCATGCTGGGCTTGATCAGCACAGTGCTTGTGCTGAAGACCTATACCAATTCCACATCACCGTATCTCCTCCACCACCCGTAACAACGCAGTAACCCTATGTTTGAATAGATCTTTGAATCCAGTCCACATCACATCTCCTTATTACAGCTGACAAAGCATGTAACACCTCTTAGGATACATCAACAAGCAGAACTTTATTGAATTGATATACAATATTAAGTGTTAAAATGTGGTAAATAAAGCAAAGGGAGAACAGTGTTTTTTTTTTTAAATGCCTGCTAAAAACTTGGCCCAAATACTATATTAAACTAGCATCCATTTCACAGTAGTTAGTAACATTTAGGAAACTGTTTTCTTGCAGAAGAGTCTCAGAAGAGCCATAACAGATTCTAAGTTGTGCTCCCTCACTGAGCATGAACAAGGGCACCTGCTCCTTGACCGTATCCGAATCCTTTGGGGCCAAAGTTCTTCGCATAACAACCTGCAAGAGAGATGAACTTGTAGTACTTGAGGCTACTGACTTGTTTAAGAGCAGCATTTTCTAGATTAAGCCACTCAGCTACTTCACTTTAGGCACCAGATTATCAGAATCCAAAGCAATGCTCAAAAACAAGCATTTAAGGCAAGGCAACTGCCATGCCTGAACTTAATGTAGAGTGTCTGCTCTTTCAGCATAGTTTCTAACCTACTCTGAGTGATGTTCAGTGTAAACAATTTGTAGATCTATCTGGTGGCTAGATATCCCCAAAGACATATGTTGTCATCAAATTATGTGTGAATCAAGTTTATATCCATGACCTCATGTAAGGCAAGGCAGGATCATTGCTAGTTAGGCTCCTGCTCTGCAATTTGCTCTCTGACCCACTCAAAGGGCACAGGCTGCTGTTTTGTAATTCAGTATGTAAAGTTTTATTTGCTGCAGATGTAAACTACATCAATAGCTTCAGTGCTATTGCATTTCTCAGCTTTGTTGCTATGATGTATAGAGTACTTCTATCTTGACAGGAGCTGAAAAAGCTTCCTTATACCAGGAACAAATTCAGCATCTGTCCTTTTAACATACACATTACCTTGAACCAAAAACAACTGATCATTTCTTTCCTCACCTTTACAATAGATTTCTCCTTCTTTTTCAGTTAAGGTTGTAGATTCTAGACTCTTTCCACACTTGGCACATCGGAAGCAGTTTTTGTGCCATGGCTGAGGAAAAGACAAGAGAGTTTAAATACACAGAATCCCCAAGTTTTTTGGGGGAAAAAAAAAAACCTGCCTCAGTATAGATGAGTGATGCAATGAAAACTAGTTTAAGTGCATCAGTTCTGTATTTGTAGAGATGGCACACAACCCTGAACTCCAGGTAACCTACTGTTCAGGAAGTATTTTAAGAGGTTTGGATTTGATCTAATGAATTCAGAGCAGATCTCAGCTATCAGTATTGAGTCAGCCAGCTTTACACGGTATTTTCAGATAACTCCCCCTTTCTGCTGAAACCTTCAGCCCATGTCATAAGCTGTTCACTACAGGATTGTTTCCCCCTGCTGGGGAGAGCGCTCCTGCAATCTGATTGAAGTCTCTGGCAAAAGAAGATATTGAAGCTTCAACTCTGAAATCCAAGGTGAGCGCTCTTCACCCAGAGTTTCCATTTCAGATGTTCTTTCTCTGAAGAAGTTAAAAACTACATTGATTTGATCATTTCCAGTATTGAGAAATGCCATTTTAAGGTAACTACACCACAGTTGATTCCCTGCTGCCTTCTGGATAGCATCCCCCTAGCAAAGCCAAGTAACACATGTTGTTCACTTTAAAGTCCACTTAGCAGTTAAAAAAGGCACACTTCCTTACCTTTCCAGCACCTATTACTTTCTCAGCTGCGTAAACAGAATCACCACATCTAGAGCATTTCTCTGCACCTCCAAATTTCTGAGCAAATTTTGAAGTATTTGGATTTGTTGTGGGTCGGTGGGGAGAGGGTGTGCTGAAAGAAACAAGACATTTAGGATTCTTACTCTGAATAAGCGATCTCTTGCTCTCCTTAACAAAACTAATGGTGCAGCGTCCAACACAGTACAGGAAAAAGGGTTCTTTTTTTAAAGTTGGAGAGATTAGTTACCAGTAAGGCTATCTGATTACACTTGGTAGGAACAAAGGAAGGAAAGGCCACGCTTCAAAGGATAATGACTACTGAAAAAAAGCTACTTTTCTGAGGGGCCTTCTCCTTTTCACCTTCATACAGGTCTTGGAATTCACTTCTGTAGAAGATACTGGATTTATCAGACAGTAAGTTAAAGATAATTCGGTTGAACTCCTCTTAGCTGCTCATACCTAGAGCCTGAACCGATCACTGAACCTAATGGATTGAACTATTTGTCGTTTCTGGACATGTTCTAGCTGGAGAGCACGTCAAAGTCAAGTAATAATCTAGGAACTTGCATGAAGCAAGTTGCAAGGCATACCTCAGGTGTTGTTTTTTTTTTTTTTTTTAGGCTGGTTCTTCATTTACCAGTTACACATTTACACAGTTATTCTTCCTGTAGCCTCAGATTCTCAACAGTTTGAATCCACCCTTGCCAGAGCCTGTTGAACAGTTACCATTCACATCTTATTTAGGAGAGTGCCTTAAGAAGGACACTCACTTCTGCATTCTGTGGACTTCTGCAGAACCATCAGCATTTAACAATCCAGTTCTGGTGTGACTTGGTTCTGGCATCCTCAGCTGCGGTTAACTCCTACTCATACAGTGCCTACTCATGTACTTACAAGCAGAAGTTTTGTGCATTTTAAGTTAAATGCCCTGCACCTTGTTACACTGGGGTATTTGGGAGCATTTACATTCCCGACAACATGAATTGGACAAAATTCAGCCTGAAAAACTCCTATGAAAGTTGTAGTGGAGGACAAGGGCCACGCACATAACAACTCATTAACTCACCTCTCAGGCTTGATACCTAGTCTCTCTCCCCTGTCCATGTTCAGTGTGCCTGCCCCTTGGCCGTATCCATAACCTTTTGGGCCATACTTTTTTCCATAGCAAGATTTGCAATAAACTTCAGCATCATGAATCGCTACAGTTGTGCTGTCCAAGTTCTTCCGGCAGACCACTGGAGGGAGAAAGAGGAGGAAAAAAAAAAGAAAAAAGTTAAATTGCCTTGAAGGACCGTCTCCATCAGCACATGTTGTAAGCTAAAATATCAAGCAAGAAACTATGCTACAGGTTTCCTTCTCCATAATTCCTTCCTATGAGGCTCTAGAACTGCTAAAGAGTAGAGGGGGCAGGTTGTATTTTGAATTAGTGAATTATGCTTATCCCTATAAAGGGGCTCTATTCCCTCCCACCCTTTCGTGATCAAGAAATTTAAAGCCTGGAAACTTGCTGTGGCTTGATGAATGAGACTGCTCAGAAAACCCAGATAATGCAGTCGGCAGCTTCCCTTGACTGTTGCCATAGTTCGGAGCAAAAGTTCACCAGCACAGAAGAGTGCCTACCCTGCACTTCTGTCTGGGGTGGAGCAGGGACAACGAAAAGCCCAAAGTTTTTTTTCCCCAGTGCTGGTTTGGGGCAAAGTTGGTACTGGTTCGCAGTTATACCACATGGGCCTCCCTTGCTTCTCATTCATAAATTGTCCTTCAGTGCAGCATAAGCATCCTGCTCAAGGCTAGAGTAGCAAGCAGAACTATTTCCTGTTTTGAAGCTTCTTTCAAAGTTGAGGTGCTTTTTCAACCTGCAACAGCATTATGCTCATAACAAAGGACCTGCATTGAATATCCAATTGTACCACTTGTAGATTTTCAGTATTAAAAAACCACTTAGTCTTCAAAATAGAGACCTCTGCTTATTGCATTCATTAGCTCCAAACTTCTTCTTGTAAGACAAATATCCAGTAAGTAATCCAACTAATGCATGTTTGCTAAGTCTACAGACTTTAACCCCCCACAGAACTACGCACTAAGCAAAAGCAAATATTGAATCAAATATACTGGAGCCATTGTTTGGCTATAAGTTCCAGGTTTCTTTTAATAGAAACTCCCATAAAATGCTGAATATAAGGCAGTTGAGGCACTTAAAAAAAAAATTGCTGTAGAGCTAAGGAAAAGGAACATAGGTGCACCTAGACTCCCATGCCCTCACAGTTGGCTGATGTTATACTGCAAGTTACTAGCAAGCTGGTTTCTAGTTGCAACTGTGGTTCATATAAAGAATGCTGAATCCTATTCCTGTCTGTAGATATTAAATGCCAGTAAGTAAGAAAACAATACTTCATGTTTGTAATAAGGTAAGATCTTTGTATTTTGTCAGGCTGTTTGTTTGCAAAGTACTAGCCTAGAGTTTATGAAGTGACCCTTTGTTTCTTTCATCTAATCAAAAGTCTTTTCAGCAGAAAAAGCTATTTTCAATGCCTCAATGGACTTGTTGGTTGGACTGGAAAATAATGCTTTGGACTCTTTTCATCTGAGATAAACCACAGGCCCCTGTGCCAAGAAAGTCTAGGCTTTTGGCTTTGCTAAAATATTGACAGTTCAACTGTGCTGCAAGCATGCTAGTGTCCCAGGCTGCATGGCAGTAGATTAAACATTCTTCAGAGAAAGGGTTTTATAACTCTATCAGCCTCCGTCTGCACCGAGACTCCAGGTAAAAGTTCATTTGAACTTGGTGCATCAGTGCAAACTGGGTGCTGTCACTGGATTTTCTCCTCTGCGTGAGCAATACTCAAGCTTGGTTTCCATCCTAAAGTACCTGCCTCACCTATATGGATGACAGGACCAGGAGGGGGCAAAGGGAGGAGAAAGGGAAGGAGAGAAACAATGAGGAAAAAAGAAAAGCCACATTCTGCTTAGGACAATATTTTTTCAGGTGTACACAGCACCAACAGGCTTAGAAAGCATGAAGTGAAACATGAGCCAAGCCTGACAGGTGATGGACAGAGCTGTCACTGGCCATTGCTGTCCCTACGTGTCACAGGTCCCCACCAAGCTTTGGAGCCCTGGAAATTTTCTGTGGAAGAGCACTTTGCCACTGCAACTCCCGCACTACAGCAGACGAGGTTTCAATGCCACACAGCGAAATCCCAAGAGTACTTACTGCAGAGGAAGCAGCACCTGTGGAAGCTTCTCCCATCGCACTGCACCTCCTCGGCGTGGTAGACAGTCCGGCCGCAGGCACCGCATTTGTTACCGCCTCCCCAGTTCGGCATGCTGCCTCTTGCAGACTGAGTCAGGCTGGAAGGGTAGGAGTTTGTTAACTGCAGCTCCACTCGGCGTTTTAGTTTAGAGAATTAGTATTACAGGCTCTTTTAAGCAAGGTCTGCTGAGTTCAGCTGTCAGACTACAAGTTCATGATTTTTTCAACTTTATAAAAAATTCGACCTTCCATTACATGAGAGGTTTGTCTGACCAGAGCAACTTCTCAGCCCATTAGATCCCAGGCGAGGCTTACAGGCTTCAGCAGACCCTCTCTGGCCATTTGCAAAAGCAGACGGACTTCCAACAGGAAGAGGGGTCGCTGCTCCCTAACAGCAAGAGAAACAAAGATACGGTCTTCACCAGACACATCTTCCAGTCCCCATTCAAGATTCTGAAAGTTACATAAATTGGATATGCACAAGTTACAATTCAGTTTCTTTTCTTCATTAACTCTGGGCCTCTCGGCTGATGGAAGCGCACCAATTGTGCCAACAATGGCATTTTGTTTTACTGCTGAGTCTATCATTCAGAGCACAGCACAAGCCAAAGCACACCTCACCGCAGAGCCATTTATTAAGGCTGCAGGGATATTTTGAACTCCTTTGAGGATATGCCTACACGGCAGAGAAGTTAGCGGGGATTAGTTCCCCGGCACCCTATTGCCATCACATGAACTATGCCTTCGCCAGACAGCTTACATGAACTGAACCCAGCTACTCGAGGGACTGCTGCTTTGGAAGAAAGCAAAACTGTATCTCATACATCATTTGCAACAGCCACACAGCAGGTTAGTAAGGAAGGACAGGCACCAGCGCCGATCCCACCTAACTACAGCTGTAGGAACAGTCTCCTACATTAAGCCAGAAGCTGCAATGGTCATGCCTGAACCTGACCTTCCTCCTCCCTGTCCTCAACTCACAAGGGTTGGTTAATGCGAGTTTGCTCCCCTTCGGTTCGTCACTGGTGGAGGACTGCTCATAAGCACTTGGGCCAACAAAACTACAGCTAAAGACTGAGTTGAGCTGTTCAGGCCTCATCCCCCCCTGCTCCTCACTGGCCCTTGTTTCAGGTAGCATTTTGAGCAAGGACCATGAGCTGGCCAGCTGGACGCCTAGCACTCACCTACTGTAATGCTCCTATCATCACCTGCGCCATTCCCCAAATGCTGCTGGCTCCCAAACACTAGTGTCACAGCAGCACTGTGGTATGAGTCAGGTGTTGGGCAGGGAGGGAGAGATTTCACAGAGATATCCCACTTCCACCTGCGCAACTCACCTTTGGTTATTTTTAGAGGTTCTCCTATGTCTGCAGACAGGGACAAGGGACACGGGACAGCACCCACAGGAAAAGCCTGCACCCTGCTGCCTTGATTCAGCTTCGCCTTTTGTCTCTTTTAGCCTGAAGCCAAGGACTATGAGTCTTTTAAGGAAGTCTCTCCAGCCAGGAGAGAAGAGTTGGAAACACGCCTGCACCACGCAGCCTCCCAGTCAGCAGAGGGAAGCGTTCATTTCACCTTCCTCTTCCTCCAAGAGCTCTCACCAACGCGTTGGACATACAGAGCCAAGAGGGTGACCGCAGCGCAGAGCAAGGCATCCTGTGGGTGCCACGGCTGCTGCTGCACCTACAAGATGTGACTCGCAAGGCACATCTCAGAGCAGCAGTTTTTGCTAAGCCCAAATTAAGTGGCCCATCATATTGGCACCGTTAAAGTAAGCAGCCTGCCCAAACAACCTGACCTGTAGCTCAGCAGAGCTTTAGGCATGCAATGAGGGTAGCACAGTTCCCAAGTCAGACGTACTGCCAAGTAACTGCTAGAAGACCTTTGTCTGAGAGGAGCAAACAGCCATTCATGACATGTGGGAAAATAAGATTAGTTTATTAACGTGAATGGGGGCATCTTAGGTAAATTCCTAAGCAAAGGCTTAGGAAGCTTCAGCAGAGTGGCTGAGTAGTGCCGTTTTACAGCACTGACACTAATTACTGAGCTATTCCTTTGTTCAATATTTCTACAGGATTAGCACCATTACTGCTCCATGGTTTAGAACTAATGCTCTGACCAAGCTCATAAAATTAGTTTTATGACATTTACCACTTTGTCTTTGTCATTCTTGGCACAACTGTAGTCTAAAAATTAAGATTCCATTTCTTTTATTCAAGCGTTTGGCTGTGCTACCGCACAGCAGCTGACATCAATCATGGCAAACGGCATCCTTAGTTAAGAGGAGTATAGGCTGCACAAAGCTTGGGAAAAGGAATGCATTAACGGGGCGGGAGAGAGATTGCTTTCCAACTTTGCACTTTCCGAAGCATAAGCTGTATTCTTCTGCCCTCTTTTGCACTCACAATCCTCATCCTCATGTTCTTGCATGCATTTAGTTCTTTAAATGACTTTTAATTACTTTATGAGCAAATGATTGTTTAGCTCCATGCATGCTAGAAGTGAAGACTTGGATTAGGTTTGCAGCTTTGCCACAGACTCCCCATGCAATATGGGGCTGCACGGGGCACAGCTCCACCCCTCCTGCCCACGGGTAGCATTAAGTATTAGACTATCTGGCAACCATGGGTCGACTCAAGTCCTCTGATAAGGACTCCAAAAGGTCATTAAATAAAGGAGTTGAAGCCAGTACTTCAAGGTGACCTTGGTCTCTTCCACAAAAGAGACTTCTATTCGTCTTCCCCATAGCGTTCCCACGACAGCTTGTGTGGGAGGAACGGCAATATTTCTTCCATTATCCAACAGCGAGGGTCACCCCGAGGCAGGAGTGCCTGGAAGGCACCCCCGGAGGCACAGTCTGATGACAGGAAGAAGCGCTGCGCGAAGGACAGCAGACCCACACGCACCCCTGCCCACGGGCCGTTTCCTCAGCGCCACCCAAGAGCTCCTGCCTGTCCAGGTCTCATCCGAGAGCTTCGCTGACTTTCAGCGCGGCATTAAGCTCTCCTTGCTCCCTGAAGGCTTTTTGGCTGGTTTCGGCAGGCCCGCAGGGAGCCGAAGAGCAGAAATTAAACATCACCACCAGCACCAACAGCTTCAAGTTTTGATTGCGGGCTTGTAGGCAGCTACTTTCCTCCCATAAGAGACTCGGCCCGAGAGGGGGGCACTCTACCGGGCTAGCGCTCTCCGAAACACCAGCCACGGCAACGGCAAACACCTCTCCCACCCATCCCTTTGCAGAGGTTTTCCCGCGAGGAGGACCCAGAGGAACCGCAGCCTATCCTTACCAGATAACGCCAGCGCTTTTTCAGCCACCAGTCCACGAAAGCCCAACGCGCGCCCGTGC